CATCTCCTTTAGATGTCGGAGATGCTCTGGAAGGTACATTGCATGAAAGGCCGTCAGGAACTATTCTCAAGTGACTGGAAAGGGAAATGTGGCCTGCTTGAGTTGCCACTAGCGGCCTGCTTCTCTCACCAGCATGTAGGTAGCACAAATGACTTTCTGTTCGAGAGTCACCTCAAGTATCGTGAAAGCCTTCTCTGTCTCAGCTAACCAGTACTCAGTCTCTTCAAAGGAGGATCCCCCTGCAAAAGTAGATGTATTTAGTCTTTTATACCTCTCAATGTAGTCTGGGTCCATCATGGAAGGAGTTGGGTCTTGTGGAAGAGGGACTGAACTGCACTGAGGATGGACTGGGTGGCCCTGCGGTGGTACTGGATAATATGGTGAGGCACTAGATTGTACTGTGGTGGTGCTGGGTGATGCAGTTGGGGTACCAGGCCATACTGTGGTAATGCCGGGTGGTACTGTGGCTGGGACACTGGATCATACTTTGGTGGTGCCAGGTGTTACTGTGGAGGAGTAGGGTCATACCAGGGTGGCTCGGGATCCTCTCGCTGCAGAGGTGGCTCAACCTGTGGCAATGGGAGAGATTCAGGTAGCTCATTCCTTTTCTCCCGGGCATGCTGGACAGCAATGAGTCTCTCCAGCATCTCAAATAACCGGTCAACATCCTCTCATAATGAACCCTCCTCTCACCCCTCTTGTGGGTCGGCATCTGAATTCTGGTCCTCTTGATCTAAAATAGTTAAATAAGGAATGAGCTACACTAGCCCAGTAAAAATATCACGCTACTTACCGACACAGAAATAGAGGTTGGTATAAAAATCAAAATAATTAATGGAGCTCTTAATTAAGCAAATTCATTTATCATAAACAAAATTGTTTACCGCCAACTTACCATAGCGAAATTTACAAAACTACTTGTAGAGATAATAACGTAACACATTTTATAATTTCATATGCAATTGGTTGGAACAATAATTTTCTCTTTAATCAGCCTACTGGTATCTATGGGGGTTCATAAAAATGTCCCCATAACGCGTGAATCATTTCCTTTAACATTTCTAATTAACAGGCCGTCCTCATACCCCGTCCAGTATGAGCACCAAATTATTAAGTCTTGATACCCCGTCCAGTATGAGGCAACGTTCATGGTATGGTTCTCCATGCACCTGGTCCGTCCATCATCTCCCAAGATATCCAGTAAGACTGTTGTTTCTTCCATTCACTTAATCACATAGTTTTTCGTTTACCTTTAATCTTCACTTTTTCAATTCAACAATAATTACATAAAACAACAATATATACATCAAAACT